ACACACACACACACACACACACACACACACACCCTCTGAATAGGAGCCCTGTTTCTTTGCTTTGCAGATGTCGATGAGTGTCTCGATGAGCCAGAACTCTGCTCGCCTTATGGTGAATGTCTCAACACAGAGGGATCCTATCTGTGCGCCTGTGGGAGTGGATTCACTGCTAGTCTTGATACGCCGTCCTGTGATGGTAAGACGTGAAAACACAGACAGAGTGCAGATGGAGCAAAAGGTTTTCACTAAGCAGTAAAGCTGTTTATCACACTTGTCAGTTCTCTGATTGTAATTCATGTTTCTTTGGGACGTTCTCTTTCACATAAAGGAAATGTCTCGACAACTAATCTTGAGTCAGCATTTCGACAAACCTCAGTGAGGAGCGCCAAAACCATTCCACATCTTTTTGAGATTATGAGATTTATTTAATTGACCTGTTCATTTCTATTCATAGTTGTTAAAAAGCCAGACATAACCACAGCATGGACGCCAGAATCTGTGCTCATCCGACGCACTTATTAAATTGCTTTCAATAGTCTTAATACCTGCAATGTCTCATTTTCTACTTTTAAGACAAGGAAAATAACCTCCCGTTTCTTTCAGACATGTTGCTCACATTTTCTTGATAATCCAGAAGCTTTAGCCCCTGTGACAGCAATAAGTCTTTTCTCAAGTAAAAATTGTATTTTTAATAACAAAAGGAAAAACTTACAGCGATAAACAATCAGAGCCTTTGAGCTGAGTGTCTAGACGTACTGTAAATGAGGCACGTTTCCTGCTTTAAGTCGGACTCAAGTAAACTTGGTCTCATTTGCTCTGTAAATGTCTGCTTCAATGAAACTACAAAGTGGTGGCAACTGTGTAATCTAATGCATTTGGTTTGATATCCTCTTCATTCATTCATGTGCAGTTTATATATATATATATATATATATATATATATATATATATATAGAGATAGAGAGAGAGAGACACACACACACACACACACACATATATATATATATA